TTTTGCATAATTAAATGCAAGTCTGAGTGATTGGATTCTGGGTACCTAAATTTTTACTGTAGTTTTAACTGAATAGTTTTATTAAGCAAGCATAAACTGAATACAGATAGGGTGGAAGAGCAAAGCTAGGACCAACATATAAATGAACTACCATCCAGTTTTCAATTACATTCTTGCTGGTGCATGAATGAAAGTTTAAGGGTTACAATTCTACTAAAGATGGATGCTTTTAAGCATCCAACATCCCTCCCCAATTACCAAGGTCTAGTCTCAAAGGGCTTTAAGTACAGTTCTACCAATAATTATATACGTTTTGTTAAATGTATCATTGCATACACAGATTCATCAAAATTATCACTAGACAATGAAAAAGAAGGAACTCCTACAATAAAACCAAAGTGGATAAAATTCAGAAAATAAAAACTGCATTTATATTATTTTTTAGAATGTATTTCAGAAAATTAAGCTAATTTAAAATGAAAAAACGATGACAACCAATATTAGGATCTAAACTTACTATTACGTATACATATGGAGCCAGAATTATTGTAAAAGATAAACAAACTTTTAGCAGCTGTAGCTGCTTTTGAAGGTGCAGATAATATTGTACTATAAATCTGAAAAATGGATTAGGAGTTGAAAAAGGAAGAAAGAAAGCTTAGTTTCCTCTTTCAATCTTTGAATCAAAGCTAGATCTGAGAAGCTGAGATCTACAGGCCTTTATACATGTGCTCTGGGAGTGGCGGTAGTGCACGTGTAGGCACCATATGAGTTCAAAAATTCTGAAGGACACAATGTCCAGAAACAATCAGCTTAAAACACTGACAAATACTGCTTTGTTAAAAAGCTAGTTTTAAATGCAAAGTATTTTAATGTTTTCCCTTCACTTTTCTAAGCTTGCTTAAGGTAGTTTGCAGAGGCAAAGCAGGCAGTTTTGTTACACAAGACAGTGTCAGCTCCTGCAGCGCTGATGGCTCTGGTGTAAGCCACATCAGCAGCAGCAGCTATTTTTAGTGGCCCCTAACAGAAGTAGCACCCAGAACTGCTGCCCTGGTTGCCCCTTCTACCTTCCCCCCAAATTATACTACTGGTGGTTTTGTGTAAATAACAAAAAAAGCTTTCAAAATGATTTTTGTCCCCCAGCATTGAGGTCTAGTTTCCACTGAAAAATAGCTCAGTACAAATCACAAGTAAACAGTTCACCATCTAATAAGAATCACCATTCACCATTTTATAGCATAATGAAACATAAATAAAAATTCCAAATATATGTATGTTAAGCTATATACTGCATTTTTTCCCCATACAACATGCCCCAAAATATAGTATACACCTTGTTTTGAGAAGGCAGAACAAGGAAAAAAGATTTTGCCAGAGTTATGGCTGCACAGATCAGAGACAGAACCCTAATCTTCAGCTCACTCACCCTCCCTTTCCTGCTTAACTGAAGCGAAAACCCTAGATGATGTTGAAGTCTGGTCTCCATGGGTGGATCTATGCTTTCGAAAAGAATTAAAGAGCCTTCAGGCTAGGGACAGACATTACACGTAAACTGGTTTAAGTGATCAGAAACAGGTTTAAACCTGTAACAGAACAGATGCTCAGTGCACATAAACCAGTTTGAAAATGGCTGTAACCAGTTTGAGATATTACATTCAACCAGGTTTATCAGAGTTAACTGATTTGGGTCAAACCAGTTTATGCAATATCTGTCCCAGACCCCTACCTGGTTTAAGTTAAACCAGACTCCCTCAGCATCCCAGCATGCTCTCAGGGCTAGGCAGGGCTCTCTGTTCCACAGCAAAGCTGGCCCCTCTCCTCTGCTCCCTGGCTGGAGCTCCAGCAGAGACTGCAGGCATCTGACTGCCTTTCCCCTGGTCCCCCAACCCCCACTCCCTGCTAAGCAGGGATTCCCCCCTCCCCTCTGCCTTACACAGACACCTCTCAGCATCAGCTAGCATACCACATGCTGGCTACGGTTTGTGCTGAAAGGAGACAGGACAAAGGCAGACAGGACTGTCCTTTTTGGAGCTAATCAACAGGTAGCTGGCAATGTCCCTCCTTGGAATGTTCCCTTCCTTGTTTAAGAACAGCTTGAACTAATGAAAGGGACTTCATTTTCTGATGGGGTGTTAAATGCTGATAACAAAGCTGATAAATGCTCTGTTATCAAGGAGAGGAGGGGGGCCTCCCTAATTAGAGCATCCTGCCAGGGCTTGTCCATGCCCCGCCTCAGCTCAGCACGGTGGAAGGGAACGGAGGGCTGCTCTGGTGCTCCCCGGCTTCTAGCCTGAGCCACTGCAGGCATGTGCCTGCATTTCTGGGATGTCTGTGCTGTTACAAACCAATTTAGCTTAGCCAGATTAGACCAACCTGCTAAGACTGAATCAATTCAGGCTCAGGCTTTTTGAATATCTGTTCCTAGCTCCAAAGGCCATGAAATATGGGGAAGGAGACTAGGAGCAGCTAGCAGACAGCAAAACTACCCTAAGAAAAATTAGCTTGATTAGTGGGACATAGACATCAAGACCATTAAGAAGGAGAGACACTTGTTAACACCTCTGGAATGAAGAACAATGAACTATTAAGTCAAATGGCTCCTTCCATTGCCTGAATACTAATACAACAGCTGCTGCACTATTGAGCAGGAATCAAAGCAGGGTGCTTCTATCCAGGGCAGGAAAATGAGCTTCCCTGCACCATGATTTTAAAGGAAAAGGTGTGTTATGTGTGCAATAAAAGATGGTATTTGCTTACATGCCACTTCCTAGTTTATAAAATATTATATCAAATTTAGGGTAAAACTGAAACTTAGGAGCAAATCAACATGTTAAAATAACAAAAATAACTTAAAATTACAATTTCAAAGATTAAAAATCACTTTGATTTAAATCAATGATGGTGAAAGGTAAGTTTATATTAGTGAATATATATATGATTACTAGGTATATTGTTTAATAAATAAAACAAATAAGTATCTATTAATGATAACAAAATTATTGTTGAAAGCCACCGTAGAGGAGACAAGTCTGTTATAGAAAAGGGTTTACTTTGCTTTGGTGTCTTGGTACACATTGCCTCTATCTTTTTAAGAGTTTATGTTTTTCTACTCTTGCTACCTGTATTATATCTCAAGTTCCAGAATGCAGTATTAGCAAAAATCTTCTTTTTTTCCCTGCTACTATGACCTCTCTCTTGTCCCATACATAGCCTTTGTATATCTCTTTTTAAATGCCTAAAATTAATTTAAAATTTGTTCTGTATAATTTAAAGTATGGTAATCAAGCTGATTTACAAGATGATATGGCTAAAAATGAAGCATCCTAATGCACACTACATAAAAAGGCATTGCACATGCAGAAAAAAGAAAACAAGATTAAATTAAATCTGAAGGTTTCTTCTGCAGCACTTTTGAATTAACAGCATGTTTTTCCTTTTATCAAGGATGGATTAAGTATATCAGTTATGTCATAAGTAAGAATATTAAATTAGCAACTCAAGATAAAAATATGCTCATCAGATGTAGAAGAACATTTCTGGTAGGAGAGTGGAAATAACAAGAAATGCAATATCAAGAGAAACTATACTCTAGGTTAATATTTATTAGAATTTGAAATTGGTACAGTCAGTAGAAAGGTTTGGAATGATAAATCCAGCATACTAAACTTTTATCTTATTGAGGGGTTTGGCACTCTGAACACCAATACTTTATATATACACAAAGAATTATGAGTAAATGGCAGTTCAGCCTATTGTACTAAAAAAAAAGATTTAACTGCTAAATTTTAGGGTTTTTTTAGCATGCCCTGTATCCTTCCAGATTATATCAGAATGATGTCTGTTTCCTGAGATAAACCATGATCAGCTTTGTGGTACTTGTTTATTCTCCCAATTTAATGTACACAAAAGCTGGAATATGTATGTGGAAGCCTGACTAAAAATGCATCTCTCAGATCATGCAGATACAATTTCCTGGCATCTAAAATCATGCTTATGTTTATTTTTCATCTGAAAACTCAGGCCTAAAATATACATTATTTGCTGTGAATACATTTCTCCCTTTCTAAACCAGCATAGGATCCGACCTATGTAAAACAAGAGTACAGTTCATAACATATGAACATTAACATGCCATCAAAGTGAAAAAAAGGAGAAAAAGGAAGGGAAGAGAAAAGGAGAAAATACAGAAAAGGGGAACATTAAAAAGCACTAAATATTTCATTTATTGCAGTTAATCAATACTTTAAATTTTTGCTCAATTTCTAACATAAGTAAAGGATGCACTGTTGTAGCCACCAGAATAAGCCAAACCAAAAATAATTAATAATTCCTTCTTACTGTTCTTTTCCTTAACACTGTACTTGTGTTTTCCTACTACACTGCCTGCTAGATGTTGCTGAAATGAACAAATGGGAAAAAGTCAGAAATATATTTCCTAAAGTAAATGTAGCCAGGAAGTAAAGTATTGTCTTAAAGGTATCATCATCATCAGGTGACAGGCTGATCTCCATGTAACCTGCGGCGTATACTTATTTAGCAGCAATTACATCACGGTTAGTTCTTGAATTACATTACATTAAATAAGAACACCCAAACAGGTTAGGAGATGATGTTAATATTACCTTTGTAAAATGAGTGGGCAAAGCTCTGCTCAGGAATTAACTTGGCAAGGAATCCATGGCTCAAACTTGGGTGAGGGATAGATGGTATGACCACAACTGTGGAGAAAATCATGGAATCAGATGTGAGCCAGCTAATAATTGCGTGTGGCCTGGTCCACTGTGGATCCATGACAGAAGTCCTATCTCATTGAAACATGCAAGTATGGCAATATCAACAAAAACGCATCTCTGAAGGAAGGAAAGCAGTTATGTATCGAGAGATAGGAAAGAGCATACCAATTAGTAGGGTACTTTAAAGAACAACATTTATAGGGAAAAGAGGAAAAAAGACAGACACATAAGACAATCACAGCTGAAACAGTTAATAGAAACTAGCAGTTTCCTACTTCAGCATCACAGTATGAACACATTAAATAAAACATAAAATTATGATTTTCCATAACTAATAATTTACTATATCTATATTTAAAAATAATAATCAGCAAGGACATTTTTAGCAGAGTACAAAGTAAGCTAAGTTAAAATAATGAAGAAAGTAAATATGACACATTTAAAATTATATTCCAGGTGACATGAAAACTTGCAGCTCTAAAAACTAAAACAAAAAAAAAAAATCATATTCAGTACAAGAAGCAACATATACATGAAGAACAATGTGCAGAGATTTGGCCACCAACTCCTAATGACTTTTCTCCAATTTTTATGGCTGTTCTTAGGTAGCAAACAGCACAGTCTAGAGGAACCTGAAAAAGCCACTGGACTGGCAGACCAGAATTACAGACAATGGTGGAATGTACTTGATCCCTAATTCCTGACATGTTCTTCAGCTGATAGACAGCACCCTGGAAGGCTGGAACATCAGTTGCCAGTGAAAAATAAGAATTCACAAACTCAACAGGTAAAAAAGTCAATAAAGGCAACAATTCTATTATATTAGACTTCCATTGCTAGAAAGACAGCAGGACCCAAGAGAGTTAATAGTCCTTGCAATATTAGCCTTTCACAAGCCTTCTAGTTGAAACAGAAGTAACTTCAAATAGGTAAGCACCCATGGTGTTGATTACAAACTTCAGACAGCATACTGAATCACAGTAACAAATAGCAGCTCTTAGCTTTGTGCTGATAGGTTAATATCTAGTACTTTCAAACTTTTACTCCAGAGTGGCCTCTCCATTCTTCCAAGTTTTATATAAATTAAAATAATGAATGTATAAAAATATAATAAGCAAATAAAAGTAAGTTAAACCTTACAAGCAGATGTAGAGAGAGTAATTTAAATCTCACTAGTAAGTCACAAATATCAAAGCAGTAGTAAATACCATCTCATTTGTCTTAAAATCTGTATCAACATAAAACTTATTTTGTAGTCAGATATTTAGACTTCAAGAGAAGTCAACAAAATCAAGTGAAAAAAAGAACAGTTGGAAAAAAACTAGACATACCTGTACTTGTTGGTGAATTTATTTCTTGTCTGATATTTCTACCTGCCTGGGTCCCAGATCTTGCTGTCTCTCTCTGAGGTTCTAGTATGTCCCGGTATTTGGAGACCATCAGCACAGAAATAAAGTAAACTACTGCCAAAGCTAAAAACTGAGCCTGTTTGCTATCATCCTGTGTTAGAGAAAAAGGAACATGCCTATAATACTTAACAGTTACACAGAATGTTTAATTCATGATCATAAAAAAACTTTACAGACTTATTCTTATCCAGTGTTGTATCTGTTCGCATGTGGTTAATTAAATACACAGAAGAATAAACATAATTCCACCAGTATAGTCTGCATGTAGCAGGCACTGTATTTGCAGATTTGGAGCCATAAGTTCTGACTCAAAGAACTAAACAGGGAAGACAATTGTGTAGATAAATTGTCTACCACATGTTCCTCTGTGGCTATGGGGTCAAATGATCAACGACTCTGGGACTAATTAAGCTCTTAAATACGTGCAATATAGAGCAGTTAAACTGAAGTTCATAGAATTACTCCAGTGGAAAACCAAGCTGTGATGATACACTTGGGCATTCCACATATCACCCACCTACAGTGGAGTTTCCTTCTACTTCCCAGCCCTCCCAAAATCATACATTTTTTTCAAACATGAAAACAAAGTGAGTTTTCCCTGTTCTGGGCACTATTTTATTTTGTTGCATTTTAATTAATTTGTTCATTTATAGTAATTGGCAACCCCTGCAATGCCATTAGGAAATTGTGTAAAAACAAGAAAGAATCATGCAAGGAGAACTGGAAGGAGAGAGGAAAGAGCAGCCCCTGGGAGACTACTATCCAAATCCAATCATGACCCTTTAGGTTAAGGATGGCCAACCTGTGGAACCACATGCCATACACATATACACAGCCAGGAATGCAACCTGGTAGCTTGAAGAGCAGTGTCCTGCCAGTAAATCTGTGCAGGGGGAAGGGGCATGGGGGCAGGAAGGGGTATAGGGGTGCGCAGATCAAGGTCCCCATAGTGAGGGAGGGAGTGGGCCAGGGACATGTGCTGCCCAACCAGGGCAGTGAACAGGACCCCAGAGCCAGAAGTGGGATGAAGCTGTGGGTGGCTCATCCAGGGGGTGTAGTGGGGTAGGGGCAGCTCCCCACCACTGCACACACCCCTGGGAGAGGTATGGAGGGCACGTGCCCCCCAAAATTTGTGTGCAGTGTGAGGGTGGGCTGCCTGCTGTGGGCTCAGGGACAGGCTGCACTCAAAATGGTTGGGGGTGGGACAGACTCAGCTGTGTGGGAGAGGCAACGGCACTGGGAAGGGTGGCTACGGGGAATTTTGGGGTGTGTATAGCCCCCCAGGACCCTCTAGGACCACCCCTGCTCAGGGTACTCTGTTCTGCTGCCTTTCCCTCAGGAGCACCCCGCTACAGGATGAGCAAGGGGCATGCAGCCAGTTCAGGGCTCTTGAGGGAAAGACAGCGGAGAGGAGTGCCCCAAGCAGGTGTGGTACTGGGGGGGCGGGACTTAGGAGGCTATAGCCAACTCAAAATTCCCCATAGCCCTCCCCCATATCCACACTTCCCAGCACTGCCACCACTGCCCGCCCCATGCACTGAGCCCACCCTGTCCCCACCTGCTCCGAGCACAGCCCTAGCCCAGCCCCCACCACTGGGAAGAGGTTGGCACAGGCCCTGGCCCTGAGCATGCAGCAGGTAGCCCACCCTCACCCCATGCACAAATCCAGGGGGGCACATGCCCCCATGACTCCCCTCCCCATCCCAGCCGTGCCCCTTAGATGAGTCACCTGCAGCTCCATCGCACTTCTGGCTCAGGGTCCTAATCACCACCCTGGCTGGGCAGCACCTGCCCCTGTCCCTGCTCCACTCCCTCCTCACTGTGGGGGCTGTGATTTCCCCACCATGCCCCTTCCCCGCCACAGACTTACCAGCAGGACACTGCTCTCTGAGCTGCCAGGCTGCATTCCTACAAATTACATATTGGATCGGTACTGGCTGATATGGCTGGTTAATAATCGGCTATCGGTATCAGCAGCTCTATTATTTTCTACCCAAGAAAATCTATGAGTAGGAAATAAGTTAATCTGATGTTGGTCCTGACCCAGCCAGGCTCCCTGTACAGCTGCTCCTCGCAGATGGAGTAGCAGCGCAGTCTGAAACTTGATTCTAAGACAAGGTTTTGTATTTCCGATGATAAATAGAGGAAAGTCTTGTCTTGAAATTGAGTAAATATGGTAGTTTAGCTTATAAAGTACATTTGAAATGCATATGGCATTCTCTTTGCTGACTAAAATTACTATAATGAAAACTGCATTCCATTTTGTAAGAAAGAGAATAAGTCTACAGTATTTAGAGACCACTACACCTGAACATTGTTATCCTTTTCTTTAACTATAAATGTTAAGTCTCCCCTGACCTATTGCACTGCAAATTTAAAACAAAAGCGTTTGGCAATTTTAGGCTTCCTTTCTAAATATTAATGACCACCTTCTTAAAAGAAAAAAAACACATTACAAGTTACTCACCACATCACGAAAAACAACTGCTCGCAAACGGTTAATATCGACATCCTGAAGAAGTCTATCAGGATCTTTTATGGGGGAAAGATTACCAGGAACATTTTCTAACGGTGCCTAAAAGTGTAGTAGATGGCAAAAAATAAAAATAAAAACATTTTTTTTCAGAAAGATCTAAATTCAAAGAATTTGAGACACTTAATAAGCTGCATTTTTGTTCAAAATATTTCTAATGTAATATTCAGCCACTGGACACACCAACAGACACACACACACACACACGTGTGCACACACTTTAAGTATTTCTCTAATAAACTGGTACTGAAATTGTTTAGGTTCTTCATAAGCTTGTTTTAGTTCTGCTGGACAAATTCTCCTATTTCAATACATTAAACTGTGCTGATGGTATTACTTCATATGATACAAACTTTACAGTACTGTAATGGACAGTGTAAGCAAAATGTAATGCACTATAATGTAGATATGCTATAGCAGGGGGAGCATCCCTGCTTGTGAACTGCCAAACTATGCTAACTGCCAGAGACCTTGGGGGCTGGGAGACAAAAGACCAAGAAAGCAGAATGCAGAAGCACAACACGGGGACCATCAGTGGAGCAGAGGGGAAACTCGTGGCTGTAGACTTCAGAAGAGTGACAGAGCCAGGACTGTTGGGCCGCAGCAGAAGGACATAAATGTGCAGACAGCAACTGAACACTCTCAGGACTAGAGGCTGGTATGGGACACGTCCGAAGGTGTGGGAGGGTACAAAGTTTTGTTGAGTGTCTGTACCTTGGTACTAGTGCATGTTATTAGTTACCTGTTCTTGAGGAAAAGCACTACAGTGTTACTGCTTGTGATCTATTATTCAGCTTCTAAGTGCATGTACTTTAATGTTTATTTACTTGTACGTGTTTATTTCTCCCTAGCCCATTGGTTTGTGACCCCAATCCCCAGCATTTTCTGTATAAAATTGGGAAACTACCAGTTCCTGGGGTTGCAGGATTTATTACAGTATTATAATGAAGTATTTCTAATTCACATGAATGTTTTGAATACTGGTTTGTATGACTGAACATATCTTAGAAAAAAATCAGCTTCATTCAATTTTATACAAAAAATCATTACTATTGACTAAAAAACAGCAATAACAGGTTTCCTTCAAATAATTAACTCTGTAGCCCACATTATTAATACATGAAAGCATTTTCTTTTTTTCTTTACAGGATTTGCCTTGTTTTAAGAAATAATATGGTAATATTCGGAGTAAATACATTTAAGGTTACAGAGATTATCTGAACAGGTATTTCGGGGAAATAAAATATATTGTGGAGACAACAATGTGAATACAACGATGAAAAAATGAATTCCAAAGCATCGTATTCAGACCTGGAAGGTTCTAGTTTCTCTCAATTTCGTTTTCTGGCACTTCAGCCTTCAGAAGTTGTGAACAAACCAACAAAATTCAAAAACAATCAATAAAATGACAACACAAGTGATCTTAAGCTGTAACTGAAGAGTAAGCAATTGTACATCCTATTCCTTGAGTCAAAACTGCAGAGAGCAACCTGTGACATATGTACAGAACCCTACTGAAGTTATCAGAGCTCAATATTTCACCCATAATTATCTGATTGCAAGATATGATCATGCATCGCGGAGGCATTAGAAATGAAAAAGAAAGTATGGACTAATCAACTACCAACAAGATGGAGGTTGGGAGATGCATCTGATCTTTGAAACAGTACAAATATTAAAAAAAAAGCTCTGCAAATCGTATCCAATCATACTGTTCACTATTTTCTTTTTTTAGCTTCTCTTATTTGAAATAAGAATGACAACATTCTCTTTTTAAGCCTATACATGGCTAACAATTCAGTGTCTGCTTAAACTCTAAAGAAATAATTCCTCCTCCTATTAAGCTATACTACAATTTACAAAGTAAAACAAAAAACATTAGATTACCTTGGTTGTTGCAGTTGCCGTCACACCCTGAAGAGTTTCCTGAGTTTTACTGCTCATAAGTGAAGACTTGTTCACTCTCTCCCTCTGTCTTTGTCGGCATTCTAAGCAATTTCTCACAGCAACACAACAAACTGAAAAAATAAACTCATGTGAGTGTTTTGCCATAATGATGATCAGAATATTAAATTGCTAAGGAATGCTTAGCTATAACTGAATGAAAAAATCTCTATCTTCTAATGATGACTGATAAAACATCAATGTCACATCCCACGTTCTAGTCTGGGAACTCTAGTCTAGGGAAATATTATGGTGACTCTTCCAGTCTCACAATATTTTCAGTTGAGCAGATTCTTACATTATATGCCTGGACTCATAAAAATATACCAAAATCTAAAGAGAAGGGCTGTTCCCCTGAACTGGAATTCTCAGATCTCTACTGCTCTACCTTTTGGGAGCACATTCCTTACGGCTGTGAGAATAGAAAACAAAGGGTAGGTACAAATAGCCACTTTTCATCATCTTGGAAATCAGCAGAGGAATGCCACAAGATCCTCTACTAGGATTGGTGTAATTTAATAATCATCAAGGATCTGTCAAAAGTTATTGATAACAAAAGTTATTCAAGGCCCAAGAAGACTGTGAAAAATTGCAGAGGGACATAACCAAAATAGATGAATGAGCAACATGATGGCAGATAACATTCAAAGCTTACAAACACAGAGAGATGCACATCAGGCAAAACAGGTTGAAAGTTTTGCTGTTTTGCAGATCCTAAGCTAACTACTATCTTAGGAAAATGTCAGCTCAATAAATTTCTGCTCAGTGCACAACCGCAGACAGAAAAGTGAACACAGTAGTATAATATTTAAGAAACAGAATGGAAAATATTACAGAAAAATATTTCATGCCATTTATATAAATCACTGATACATCTCACGAGTCCCCATCTCAAAAAGTATAAAGCAGAAATAAAGGGCTTCAGGAACAGGTGATAAAACCAATCAGGGTAACAGAAAAATGCTTACATGGAAGAAAGACTGAAAAGGTAGGATTTTTACTATCTACTTTTAACTACAGTTTTCTTTTCTGGGGAAAGAGGAATGAGGGCATGCTTCTTTTTTTTCTCACTTTTTAATCAGTTTTCCTTATTCTACACCAGAACACCTAGTCACGATATGCCCAAAGAGAGTTCCCATGGAATTTCCTTCCATGTTGGAAGTATGATCCAACTGTAGGACATTAAGGAGAATTAAAATGGGAAACAGACTGCTACCTGTAGCTCTATTATCTAATTAGCTACCTGCAGCTGCTATTGTGCCTATCTTTTTGTAGAGCTTAGTCTTTGGTATTAAGGCTGGTAGCAGATATAGCTATCTATTCTCAGTATCTTCCAATTCAGAATACAGTCTAATAAACAGAATTAGAATAAAGGTGTACAAGTTTGACTCTGCAGAGGAAGGAAGTGAGGACTTTATTAATGGAATATCCCTTGGCAAGAATTCCCTTTGGAAACCATTACATTTGAGAAAATATATTACAAATTATAAAAACAAACTAGAAGACTGTGGAGAATTAATTAAAGATGGTGGAACCACTCTCCTGAAATGAACGGACTTAACTCCTATAGGCTAGGGACAGAAGTTATACAAACTGGTTTAAGTGATCAGAAACCGGTTTAAACATGTAACGGAACAGAAGTTCAGTGCACGTACACCGCTTTAACAATGACCAAAACTAGTTTAAGATAAACCTGAATGTAGTATCAGACTTAACTGGCTTAAGCCAAACTGGTTTAAGAAACTTCTGTCCCAGAGCCCTTCCAGATTTAAGTCAACTCACAGTCCCCCCACAGCCCTTGCCTGGGCTGTGCTGTCCGCTCCAGCAGAGCAGGATTGGAGCAGCTCCTCTGCTGCCCAACCAGAGCACTATCACTGTTCCACTGGCTGAGAAGGCGGGTGGGGTTAGTGGGGAGGGGTTACCCTGCTTGAGACTGCAGCCTCTGCCAGGCTTCCCCCACCTCTTCGGGTGCAGGGGGCATGGCCAGACCCCAGGCCAGCCCCCTGAGGTGAAGTGGAGAGGAAGGGGGAATTAATCCTCCCTCTCTCCCCTCTCCCACCAGCACGGGACCCTAGCTGGGGTTTACCTGCAGCCCTGCCAGGATTTTCCCTCCAGCTCACAGCTTGAGTGGCAGGGGAGAGGGTGTGGCCATATGCTGGACCTAGGCCAGCCCCCTGAGGTGAAGTGCGGGGAGGGAGGGTGGGATTTAACTGCCCTCCCTCCCCTCTCCCACTGGCACAGAACCCCAGCCTGGGTATGCCGGGCAGGGGCACAGGAGGATGCTTGAGCATGGAGTGGGAAAGTCCATGCCACTGGAAGAGGGAAGGGTGGGGGATTTAAAACCCCCTCCCTCCCTCCTTCAGGGTGCCAGGCCACAGCCTGCATCTGACCATGCCCCCCACTGCTCACTGAGTGAGTGGGGAAGAACCTGACAGGGGCTGCTTCTTCCCCCTTCAGGCACATCCTAGCTGGGGACCATGCAAGTCAGGGGTACCCAGTGACCTGCCGGGGTCTAGCCATGACCCCTCCCCCCCCAGCTCGAGTAGGGCTGGGGAATCTCGAGGGCTTTTCTCCCAGCATCCCTCCAGCCTTCCTGCCACTGCCAAAGGGAAGGGAGGGCTTGCTCTAGGACCTTGCAGCTTCTAGCCTGAGCCACTGCAGGCAGGTGGCTGCATTTCCAGAGTCAAAAGTGAACACCTATTCACTTGCTTCCTGGTTCAATGTAGGCAGTTTAGAATACACCTGCAAAGATTGAATCGATTCAGGCTTGGGCTTTTTGAATCTCTGTACTTAGCCACAGAGAAAGAATATGACTGAGTGGAGTTGAATGGAATTCTTTATAGTGGCTGTATATATTTCAGACCTGAAAATATCAATTTAGCTTGCTATGGATTTGTGACCAATGTAGGAATAAAGCACCCCAACAAATAAGCACTGTGGGCATGTGTAGATGAAACAGGGGCACTAAATTGAAGCAGTGGGTTTTAAAAAACACTGCTTCAATTTAGGGCTGATTAAACCTACGTATCATGCACACACCCTGCTGAATTACCTGCTTCTTTGGAGGGGAGGGGAGGGCGAGTTACCAGTGGGTGGAGTGGTTCCTGGGCCATGTGGG